AAAAGGTATAACACAGGGGGGGGTGGGGGGGGGGGGGGGGGCGGGGGGGGGGGGAGCAGTGAGAGACCTGATTTGTCTGAAATAAGGTTTGTGTTCTGCACAAGAGCCTCACGGTGCGGTGACCTAATATTCAGAAGTATTTTTTTCGTATTATTCAAAGACTTCTTTATGTCTTGTAGTGGTAAAGTGGAGGAGGTGCGTGAGCAGCCGTCTGGACCGAGCTCAGTATTTTAACAGCTGAACCAGCAGCAGCTGTCGAACCTGTGTGGAGTTCATAGTGTAATGTGTGGTTCTGTGGTTCCTGGAGTCAGTCAAAAGGCCACGACCGTGCTGGCTAACAGAGGCTAACAGCAGGCTAATGAGTTTAGAAACTCAAACAAAAAACAAGATGAGATAAGAAGTGATACGATACGATACGAGTCCCACAGAGGGGAATTTCATCATTTACCTCCAAATACGCACACGTGAGATCTGAGGTTCTGTTCCTTTTGCCAAAGGACACTTTGACATGAGGCTAAATCTGCAGCTAAAGATCAAACCGTTCACGTCCTGCAGACTGACGGCTCTGCTCTCTGAGCTGCAGCCTCCTGGGTCACAGCTGCACACATAACTCACCGTGATCTTCCTTCCAGAACTGTGACCCAGTTACTGGGTCTCTAGGTCTCGGTGTGAAAGTCTTTTCAATCCCTTTGTTTCAGCTCTAACAGTAAATATTCAGAAACACATCAAACTCTACCGACTGTGTGTTTTCTGTCATCCTGAAAATAAATAAAAAATGATGTTGTCTGTCCTGAACGAGGTTTTAACTGCGCAGCAGACAAACATCTCCACAGTCTGCAGCTTTATTCCACTTTCAACAAAGAGAACAGACAACAGCGACAACACGTTGTATTTGCACATGTACTCGAGCCGAAGCTGAGAGTAATCAAAGCCAAGCCGCCCACCCACCCACCCGCCCATATCTTCACACCTCTTTGTTTCTCATACTCTCCAATATTCAACTGTTATTTCTCTCTCACACACACAAACACACACACACACACACTCTCACCCCCCTGCGCCCCCCCCTCCTCCCTCTGCTCCCTCCTCCCCTCGCCCTATTCTTCCCTAGATTTTTTCTGGCAGGAGAGAATGTAGAGAATGTTGCCAAAGCAATATTCAAGTAGATAAATAATTCAAAACAGACACTGAAAATGATCTAAAAATGAGACGGTTCTTCTGCCGCGGCCGTCACTGTAACGTCAAGGCAGTGGTTTTCAAACCTGTTCACTCGTCTCCAGGGACCGTCAGTAAGACCCCGGTTCGTTACGGAGAAGAAAATGTATTCCTGTTAACTATATAAGCCTATATAGACTGTTAGCCTTTCAGTAGCAAAAAAAGAATCTAGCCTTAAATTCAAATCTGTAACCACGTACTGTACTGCCTCCTACAACAGCAAACAACAGCATATAACATCAGTGTTTAACGTCTCAGTGAATCAATAACTCATGGTGGGATTTAGATTCCCTTTAAGTCCCACTAAAGTTAGCCAGCGTACCACCACAGGTCCCTGTACCACAGTTTGAGAATTAATTGAAAAATAATGAGAAAACTGTGAATTTAGCCGAGATATTAGCTCCAAGTGTGTGGGTAAAATGACGGCGTTCGGCTCTTACAGTAAACAACCTCGACCAAACGATGAAGGTTTGACGCAGATCCAGTATTGAACCTCCTTTTAGCCGTGAGGCCTTTAATGCTGCGGGAGTTCAACGGGTTCATCGCAGATTTCCAATAAAACACCAGCTGCAGACGTTTAAGAGACTAAAAGGAACAAATGAGTCCAGTTGCAGGTCATAAAATAAAACTGTCCGTCATCAGCAGCGTTGGCTCTCTGGTCACTGTGGGATTCTTTAATGGCCACCAGCCTGGCTCCCCCCGCAGGATGTGATTTGTAGCGCAGCCCTGATCCCATCACCACAAATTGGTGATGAACAAACCAACCGAAGGCCTGTTCATGTGTGGTGCTCTGTGAAGGAACCCTTTTTTTTTTTCTTCCTTGGTTCTGATGAAGTAACTGTAGGTTGTAAGGCATGTTAACAGCAGAGAAAGTTCTGGTGAATGTGTCTGATTAGCTTAAAAGATCAGAATGTCAACTTGTCTCCGGAAAAAACACGTTTTAAGAAATTATTCTAAGATGAGGATTTTTTTAGGTCGCCTTTTTGAAATGCCAAACACACAGAATATATCAGAATATTATTTTGGACATGGTTTTTCAATTTAACTTCAGTAAGGAAAGAAGGTTGAAGTCAAAGTGATTACATTTATATACACAGAGGTTCCCACAGTAGGGGGCGTGTCCCCCTTTGGGCCTTCAGACTTGTCTAAGAAAGACTCTGGAACACCATAATTGACACGAGTCCTGGGTTGGGTTGTGTCAGGAAGCTCATCCTGTTTGTGTAGAGCAATAAACACTTTTTGTCACTCTTTAACCCACCATCGTATCCTTTACAGCAGTGTTTCCCAAAGACTGGGTCGCGACCCTCAGGTGGTCGTCTCACATCATTTTTCCCAGGAGTTTACGAATAATTGACTTAGGTGACGGAGGTTTGTGACTTTTAAAATATGGGTCCCCAAAAAAGAAGTTTGGGAACACTGCTTTACAGCACAGTCTGTCTCTGACTACAGTCCAACAAACACTGCTTTACAGCACAGTCTGTCCCTGACTACAGTCCAACGACTGACTGTTCCTCTCAGTGTTTCCTCCTGTATCTGCTGCTCGTCCGCTCTTTATCATCACAGTGATCCCATCGATCTACAACGACGATAGAAGGAGTGTCACTGTGTTCATTCTGTCAACGATCACAGAAGACCGTGACTGGCTGCTGATGTTCCTCATACTAACATGACTTCATTTTTAAT